TGTCCGTGTATATTCATTACAAAGTTTTAAAGGCTGCACCTTCCACTATGCAATGTCAGTGAAATGCCTGCAACAAATTGTGGATGTCAAAGGATATTTATGCTCTATTACAACTTGGGTATTAGTGACACAAAAAAGTAAGTCAGTGAACTGTCTTACAAAGAGATAAGCAGAGTTTTAGAGGACAAAATTAAAGAAATTAGTAAATATTTTAGGTTTAAGCTCCAGTTTCAGTGCTTTAATCTTAATCTTCTCTGTTACTGTGTTTCCCTACATTTAGCACTTATGTCAAAGAGTGTGATATTATACAAAACAAAGCAAATAATATCAAAACCTACAAAAATAAGATCCAAGTTGTAATACACCAGTATCAAAGTGGATGAGCTGGGAGTCAGCAGGTACAGATGTGGGGTAATGTTAGTACCTGGGTGAAAATGCAAATACCAGGTTACTGTGTTTGTGCTCCAGCCATTCTTCTCCCAGGGTTAGTTTGTCTGTGAACAAAAACATTCACAGCCCTTGTCTCTGTACCTGAGAGGCTCTTCTGTCTGTGACACATTATGTCTTCCTCCCCAGTGCTTTGTGATGGCAATAAACTTTACTTCTCAACCTACTTTTGTTGTCTTTGTCAGTAGTCACTGCTACACCTCACCCTAGAAGACGTAACTCAAATCCTTCGGCTACAGTTAATGAAGCCAAAAGTAAAAATGTGCACTTGTAGCCAGACTCCAAGGGACTGCATGACAACTTGGGAGACAAGCCAACCTGCCTCTGAAAGCCAGGTGAGCTGAGGTGGGTGGGGTTTGTTACTGTAGCTGTCAGCCGAGCAAACAGAGCAGGTACAACAGGCTATTCGTTTGTACAGAGTTCGCGAATCCACACCTTTAGCACTTACCGGCTTATGCTGGAGAGAGTACCGACACCAGGACCGACAGAAGGTTTTAACTTTTTAAGCTGGTTTAAAGTTTCTCGCCTCTGATTAATCAGGAAGACCAGGATTCTTTTTGGCCAGTTATGAAGTAAGTCTCTTTGTATATGTTGCTGAAAGTGTGTTGAATTCCTGACAATTTACAGTAGTTACTGAAGAAGTAAGCACATGCCTCATATTGTTTATGTGTTTGTGCTGAACCACATGTACCTTTTTGGTTTCCTAAGAGCTTAGAGGAGAAACATTTCTCGTATGACACCATGGTAATAAAATTATCTGCATGTCTAAGTTTCTTTAAGACAACAACTAAATGCACTGAAAATAAAATGTTTGTTCCAAAGCTCTGTAGTGTTATGTAAAAATTGTATGTTGACAGTTGTCTCATGTTTGTCCTGTTCATGTTTAATGATTAGTTAAAGATTACATATTACAACTCAGCAATGCAGATAAAAATGTTAAAGTCATACACATAATATTTTTTTTCCTAATTATCTCTTTTTTGACATTCAGCTCTAAAATGCAAGTTTAACTCAGTGAACCCTGTAACAGCATAGTGTGTGTCACATTTAAGGTAAAGAAGAAGTCTGCTGCACACAGAGACTCAGAGGGGTTCTCGCATCCATGGAGTCCAATCTGTCATGCCTGTCTTCACTTGAAGAGGACTGTTCAGATTACATTCAGCCGCACTATAAAGAATCCTATCGTCTAGCCATTTATGCCCTACTATGTGGCGGCAAAGAAGCCTATGAAGAGTTCCTTCGAGCTGAGCAGATCAACCACTTCCTTTCAGAGGAAGAGACTGTGTTCATTTTGGAAAATGCAGAGTTACCGGTTGTGGAAGATGATTCAGAGGGAAGACGCAGCACAGACGAGGTCAGACCCTCCACCTATTTCCCAATTGAGTCGGAAGAGGAGGTGCCAGACTTGGATTTGGGCTGGCCAGGGGTTGCGCTGGAGGGTGTAGAGACCAGCATTAGCCTGCTGTTTCACCCACCCAGACAGAACACACCAACAATTAAAGAGGTGGTTCGGAAGCAGATTCAGGCTGCGCAGAAGGTGAGGCCTCAGCACTGCGATATAAACAAAAGAAATGCTCCTGGGCCAGTGCCAGAAAATAACGCCTCATCTATCAGGTGGAGGAATCAACAAGGACAATAGTTTATCAATAGTACAAATTCCTAGTGAAAGGTGTAGTTTTGCGTAGGCATATAAACACCTCTGCATAGTTCTCTGCATACACAGGAGACTGCAGGGAAGGGCTAAACATACATTAACCCACACAATCAGCTGACTACACCAGTTCAAATGTTTGAAGCAGTTAACTACTATGGCAACTGAACTTTTGTTATCATGAAAATGTACACGATGGAAGTCACTCATTACTGTGCAGCTTTTTGCTTTGTGACGTGTGAGGCAGGCGAGTGGCCAGTCTGAATTCATGTAGGCTGCACTAACTTTGGCAGGTTTCAGAGAAAAAGTATTTAGCAATTCAGCATTCACAGAAACATTGTTGCAGCAATGTTCTTTAAAGCTGTAGCTATCATGAAGCGGTAACAGTGATGTCAACCTGGTAGAAATTTGTATTTATGCTTAAAATGCATTTCATGACTAGAAATATTAGTAATATTATATTAGAGCAGCAAGTCACTGCAGTTTTCCATTTCCTATTTTTTCCCCAGGAACCTGCTTCATGAAGCAAATTCATCTTGTACTTCCTGTGCAGTTATCTCCTGTAGAAAGAGTAGAAAATGAGTGCTGTTGCACTGCTTTCGCAATTTGTTGCTGTATGTTTAATCTAGTCTTCACATCGCTGTCTTTTAATGAGATGATCTTGTAGGATCCCGTGGAGGTCACAAACAGACACGCTGTTTTTTGCTTTTTTACCTCACACTTCCTGGAATTTTCCTTTTTATTTAAACCTATAATATTAAACTTAAGGATTACCTTTAAGTCATTTAAAAAGTGCTTATTATAATTTAGAAATAAGTAAATATAGTAATGAGTAAAGAGAAGAGCTTTTTTCTGTGCACATGTATGCAGTGTAGGAAAAACTGCTCCAATAAAGACTGCAAACATCTGAAGATTTTACTGAATCACAGGATCTACAAAAAAAAATGATGAGATACAACAGTAAGGATACTGTTGCTTTCAAATTAGTTAAAAGATCAGTCAAATGAGATGGAAAAAGTATCACTGTGAAACATTAACATTAATTCTTGTAGTCAACATTGTAGCAAAATACCACAGTAGGATCAGATAGCTATGGCTGGATTGGTTGGCCTTAAACTGATTACAGAAAAACTAATTAAACCAACTGCAAACCAACAATTGAACAGACCACTCTTTAAAAAATAGTTTTCCTGTGATCAAGTACATGTTTAAATACTTGTTTAAATTCATATGAAAGCACTGATATATAAAATGCTGACACAAAAAATAAATCATTCTACTTGCCATAACTGTGAAAGTGACCTTTTTTGTTCTACCACATAATAACTGGCAGAACAAATTTAGATGCTACACATTAAAGGTGAAATCTAACTAATTTCAAAATAAAAGTACCTATACATAAATATATATCATGAAATGACGTAGGCAACAGTTATGTTGAAACAGGTAAAACTTTGTCTGATATTTGATTAAAAAAAAATCTGTCTTTCCTCTTTAGCAAACCACTTGTCTAATTTACAGAATTCATAACAACAAAAAATATCACAAGCAAAGGTGCTCAGTAAATCACAATCTAAAAAGTGAGTCTGCTCACGAAGCTTTACTCATTCACGGTCACCTGACAAATAAAGTACACTTGCTTTTAATTCTAATTCTTTGGGCTTGTTGTCTTCTTACTGTTAAACATTTGGTCATGTCAGTGAGATACAAACTATGTAGTTTCCCCTTTTGCCACAAAATCATCACCTTTCCTGCTTGACAGCTGGTATGAGGTGTCTGGTTTTCACCAAATGTGTGGTCCTGTGTATTATGTCCAAACATCTTCACTTTGGTCTTGTCTGTCCAGCGGACATTGTTCCCGAAGTCTTTTGGTTTGTTCAGATGCAACCTTGCAAACTTAAACTATGCTGCCATGTGCTTATTGGAGAGAAGAGGTTTCCTCCTGGATCCTCTCAAACATTTTGTGTTTATTTAGTCTTTTTCTAACTGTACTATTATGAAGTTTGAAGTTTCTCTGAGCATTAAACAGTCTTACTTAAATTAAATTTGCTAGGATGTGCACTACAACACTGGCGACTTTTTTCCACTTGAATACTGTTTCTGACTGTATAGTGATGAAATTCCAGTTGTTTAGAAATGCTTCATAACCCACCCAGATTGATGGGGAGCAACAGTTGTTTTTGTAAGATCATTGCTGATGTCTTTCCTCCCCGGGATTGTGTTCTCACCCCCTCAATGCGCCAAAACAGCAAACTGTTAAAACATCTGCTGTTATAGAGGTACTCACATTTGCTGATGACCTTATAGTAACAGAACCTGTTAATTATCCTCCACATTTCTATGGAAGCAAAAAGGATGTAAAACAAATTAGTCCGCATTCTTATACTTTAGATACTGCTTCTGCATTGTAGCTTAATTTTTGTTAAATAAATAATGAAACTGTGCAAAATGTCACAGATTAACCAACACGAGGTTGCATTTGCCTAATTCTAAGACCTGCTAAGGACCAGATGATTTTTTTTTATTATGGCCCAGTACATAAACTCTAAAAATAAAAGATTTTTTTTTTCACATAACTGCATATATACAGTTGGCAGTTACTTCTCTTTGCATGCATCAGAAGTAATGACATTATTTGTGTTGCATAAAAGATTATTTCAAGTTAAGAAGGTGTTTTGCACAATGATACAGTTAATTTTGTGTGGAAAGTCATCTCTACTATACAAGTCCTGATGTTGACTACTCATACATTTTTTGACTTAATTTGTATTTTCTCAAAATTGAAAACATTTCCACGTCTAATGTGCTTCCAGCTTATTGCCATTGTAATGGATGTCTTCACTGATGGCGACATTTTCAAAGAACTCATCAATGCGACACAGAGGGGAGTGGTGGTCTACATCCTTCTGGATGATTCCCATGTCAAGAGCTTCCTCAAAATGGCACACGACATGGAGATTAATATTCAAGAGCTCAAGGTGAGAAACACGGCACCTTGAAATACAAGGTTTAAAGGGCGACAGTATCAGATGAGTATGTTTTATCACCATTATTGTACTTGTTGAGGCCATGAACTGCAAAAAATAAAAATCATCAGGAAAAAAAAATGTATTATCTTCCACTAGACCTATGTGATTATCTGGATTTCACAGTGGAGACACAACAGGCCTATTCTTATGTTTTCCACTTTTCCTGATATAAAAAGGGGCTTCTGGTAAACATGCTCTTCTGCACTTCTTGCCAAATGTAATTTTCCTGTTCCCGTGCATAGTATACACGTTAGCATTTTAAACAATGTTTATCTTGCAAAATATTTGAAAACTGTCAACTCCATTGTGTGGTGGCTTTAGTAGCACAGTGGCTGATAGTGAACAACAGCCACATACCAAACTAAGACAGGTAGAGTCATCTTAGAGCTGGGCATTTATTTAACCCTTGGCACTCTAAGTCATAGTCAGTTCGGCAGTGAGTGTGTGTATGTGTGTGTGGGGGGATGGGTGTGTGTGTGTGTGTGAGGGGTGGGGGGTACACAGATCTGTAGACATGTATGGAGACATTTGCTACTCAAAGCCATAATTGGGCCCACACATGCCTGTTGACCTGTTAAACATCATCTGACATAGTCTAACATTTGCATTCCCCCAGAGCTTCCCATGAGGCTTCACAACCTTTCTTCTGTTGGCAAAAGAGCATTTAAAATATTACGTTTGACATTTTCTCCGCACCCTGATGGAAATACAGTCATTTACCAACATTTCCCTGCTGTGTCTCTACCTGCCATTTTCACACAACTGCAGCAACCGCAGGACAGATCTGTCAGTGTGGCTGGATTTTCCTGTTAAACAGCATTAGATGATGTTTCCACAGTCTAAACAAAGAGTCATCAGCTCTGAACGCAGTGACGGCTTCACGACCTCTTTGCAGCGTGCCTAGCCATTAGCAACATCAAAAAAACAGCCTGAGGAAAACTCACACAGGTTTGATCATGTAGAGTTTGACAAAGGGTGTGCGTGCTTTCATGTGTTTGTGTAAAGGTAGTAGTAATGGAAACTGGGGGGGGAGTGTTTCAATTAAGTTAAGATTTAGGCTGTTTGCACCTGATGACTGAAACAACCCTGAACTCATGTTTCATGCTCTCGGTTTGAGTTTTTGAGTTTCATTTTTGAGTGTTGAAGGCCCTGATGTGTTGAGCAGTGAGACCTGGGAATCATTTAGTTTTTAAAAGATGTGGCACATAGTTCTTTCACACGGTAAAGAAGTTACATTCAGATAAATCAAAATGAACGAATATTAGATTTACTTGCAACATTTAATGTGGTGCCTTTGTGCACTTTTCATTTAAGTAAAGAGTTCAAATTATGTACTTCTTACTGAAATGATAATCAAAGCACTCCTTTTTTGGAAACAGGCTTGCATCATATTCCTGTTAACAAACTAGCTAATGTAAGTTGCCAAACTTGTTAGCCCAAAACAAAACTAACACAATCAATAACACAAAAGCTGAATTACTTCTATGTAATTCTTTTAGAAGGAAGTATGTCCAGCACATGCATGAATTATTTTTAAACTGGCAAAATCACATTCCTGTTTCTTGTGTAATGTCTTTGAAAAACAATGCATGTTCAAAGATTGTACTATCAACTATAAAACAGTGTTAACCTGAAAATCTCCTTGCAGTTAAGCTCGTAAGACTTGATGTTAGAATCCCTGATAATCAGCACTGGTGTCCTGTGGTCAGGAGGGAGGGGTACAACCTTTATCTGCTTTGAATGCACAGATTTGAATGTTCTGCTGGAAGCAGATGAGAACAGTTGAAGAAATATTGACAGACATCAGTCATGACTTACAGAGACTGTGCCCCGTTAACAAACCCTGGATTACAAATGACATAAAAGCAATCATCAACCAGAAAAAGGTAGCTTTTAGAGGTGGTGACAAAGAATGGCTCAAACAGATGCAACATGAGCTGAAGAAGTGACTGAACACAGCAGAAATGTAGTAGATAAAGAAGATAGAAAGGAAGCTAGAATACAGCAACATCTGTGAGGTGTGAAAAGGAATGAATACTAAAAAGAAACAAAAACAAAAAGAAAAGACAGCCACTTATGGGTGATGTGGAAAGAGCTGATGCACTCAAGCAGTTCTTTAGTCCTTCAACTTTATGGTCACACTCACTCCCACTGCTTCTCCTTCACTGTAACTCCGTCTGCTCCTGCACAAGCTCCCCCTTCTCCTTTCATTTCTAATACAGCAGCTACTTCCCCTCTCACACCTGTGCCTTCATGCTCGTCTGTCACAGACAGGGGTGAGATTGGAGTTAGGAAGACTATGATAGCCCAGATGGTGTGTGTCCAAGGCTGCTCAAGAATTGTGTTGCCCAACTGTGTCAACCTCTCCACAGGATTTTTAATCTGAGTCTACTGCCAGGACTGTGGAAAACATCCTTTATTTTTCCGGTACCAAAAATAAAACGTCTTGCTGAACTAAATGACTTTAGACCAGTGTCCCTTATAATGCACATCATGAAAACCTTGGAACAGCTGATTCTACACCAAGACAAACTTGCTTAAAACTGCAGACAGGAATCCGAACACAGGGATCTCGTAAAAACCTTCAGCCACTGGTGTCACAAAACCTACCTCATGCTGAACATCTCTGAACACTGGGGAGGCAGCAACAGAAGGATCAGTAAATTTATTCTTATTCTTATTGTTGTCAGGGTCATCAGGTAGCCACCCTTGTTCACTGGTCACTGATAGACCCACGCATGTACTTGGATGCTCATGCTTTTGAGAAACCTGGTTGCATCAGCTACATCATTTTGTTTTGGCAACTATGTCTGCATAATTGAGCCTTTTGAATTGTATATGCTGCCTCCCATAGTACCATTATCTCCACAGTGTACAGGCACTTCTGCACGGTGGACCACCAGATGATGTCTGGCCTGAGAATACTTGGAGTAATCTTTGGTGGGAAAGTGACTTTCTGCAACTTGTAGCCACAGGCAGTATCCACAGTAGCTTTCATTCTTGCAGATAAGATTTAGGGGGGAATTACTTTTCCAGATTTGGGTAGCCTTTTGTGCACTAATAAGTGAAATCATGATTTAAAAGCTGTGTTTTGTATTTCCTTTTGTCTTTGCAAAACTAAATAAATAAATAAGAAATCAGGAACAAGGAAATGTTTTGTCACTGTATCGTTTGACCTGATTAAGCCTCCTTGGCTAGTTTTGCAGCCAGTGAGGATGTCACTGGAGGTCAGCAGAGTTCCATTTGTTCTTCTTTTTACTGTATCATGATGTTTACACATTCACCAAAAAAGGAAAAGATCACTGGTTTTATCAAAGATGAAGACATAAATCCCTTTGGTATTGCATTACGATGAGCATCTGGTATAAAAACTCTGAAATTAAACACATGGAGCTTCCCACTGTTTTGATCTGTTGTGAATAAGCCAGAAGTAGGTTCTTCTATCATTGCATGATAATGCATTTTACAAATAGAGATTGCTTAATGCATTCTCAAATAAGCATTACATATATTACTTGTAGGTGAAATGAAATTGATTTATTTTTGGCCTTAATTCTCATTTTTATTTTTCCATCAGAATCTTTGTGTTCGGACGGTTCAGGGGCCAGAGTATCAGTGTCGCTCGGGGTTTAAGTTTCATGGAGGTTTGGAACAGAAGTTTATACTTGTGGACTGCAGGACAGTTATGTATGGAACATACAGGTGAGTCAGTGCTGTTCAAAAGTATTCTGTGATTAAATTGAAATAGAGGCCTGGCCTAGCTCTACTTGGCAGCTTTGCTAACTTTAAGTAAACCTTAAAGCAATTTCATGTAAACTCACTGTGCTACTCTGGTATTTTTAAAAATAAAAATTGGTGAATTAGGAAGAAAAAAATATGATTAGCTGCCTTCCTTCACCACTTAGACCGGCTTTCTTCTGGCGGGTCAAATAGCCATATTAGGAAGATTCTGTCTCACTTTTATCATATCGAGCAAGTATGTGTTTAGAGCAGTCTGCAGCCTGAGCTCGTGGCTCACGGAGATTAGTTACATTATTTGAAACTTTCACTACTGAAACAGTAAAAATAAGAGAGAAAAAAAAGTTTTAAAAAAAGACAAACCCCAGAGCAAGTTCTAAGACAAACTTAACAAATCTTCCAAGTCAGCAAAACTAGTTTATCTGTTTGAGAACACACAGAGCTGAGGTAAGAAGAACACTTAATAAATGCAGTGGCCTGTGGGCAGTTGCAGGCACCAGAAACACATAAACTTTCTGCTGAATTTGCCAAGTTCAAACATCATATGATTTAAACTTTAGTCCTATGCTCTGCTACTATAGCTTTTGTTGTGTTGGATGTGTTTCCTGGTTGGCCCTTATTTCCACTGTTATGTTTCAGTTGTGGATTAAGCACATTAAAATTTAGATAATGAAGATATGCATGACTTTATTATTAATACTGTTTAAAAATTTGTGCATCATTATGATTTGTACTGGTTCTTCAATTTCTTTTTCAGCTACACATGGACTTTTGAGAAAATCAACCTCAGTATGGTCCTGGTTGTCACAGGCCAACTGGTTTCCACTTATGATGAAGAGTTCAGAAGACTCTATGCTTGCTCCACAACTTCTTCAGTCTTGCTTAACGGGAGGCCACCTGTTCTGTACCTTAAAGATACTTTGGCTCTGGAGAGCCCAAACTCCAGCCAGCTTTCTCTTAATATGATTCACAGGAGATCCAGGGTGATGCACGTGGTGAGAAGTGTTCAGGACAACAGGTTCAACAATTCTGGCACAATGACCAGAGGCTTGAGTGTCCAGGATAGGCTCCATCAGTATGACTATACTAAAATGGGGAACCTAGTGAAAGGACACAGTTATGGAGGCGAGCTGCAAAAGGTAAACTCCATGACTCGGCTAAGGATGGGAACTAAAGACATTGGAGTCCCTGGGAGAAGTGGATCTAAACCGAGGGGAGGTGGGGAGGTGCTTCTACCAAACCGGATGTCGCACCATCACCTCCGGCACCAGACACGTTACGGTGCGGACCAGTACCTAATACCATTCAACTCAGAAACATCACTCCACCGCTGGAAGATTGATTCTTATCTTAATGAGAATGAGATGCATCCAGGTGCGTCATGTGATGCGATCTCACCTGTGACATCTCCATATAGCAGTCACACAGGCTTAAATGATTATCAGTCACAGCTCATTCACAGCAGGTCGAGAGATATTAAGTCCAGAATGGAAGAAACACGGCAAAAAAGGTTCAGTTTGCAGGACTATAACAATTTCAGGCAAAGCCACGAGTCTTTGAGGTCCATGTATCTGAATGCAGAAACATCCAAACTGATGTCTTCATTAAGAGGCCTGGATGTAAGGCAGAGTATCACAGAATCGGAGCTAGCAGCACAAGAAAGCTGCAGCCAGGAAAACAGGGAGCTCAAGAAGCGAGGTAACAAAAGAGAGCCAGTGCTCACTGATGGACATCGTTCTGCCTCTCACCATGATGTGGTTTCAGATGGAAAAACAATGCAGACATATGATTGGCGTGAGCCTCTATCCAAGACAAGATCAGCTGCTGATTTAGACCAGAAAATGAGTGATGCACCACTCAAGCCTTCTCATTTACAGTCCAGCAGTGTTAGCATTCAGCATCCGAGAGCAATGGAATCTTTGACCGAGGTCCCTGAAGAAAAAGACAGTTCCCACACTCACTTAGACCCAGCACTTAAAGTCAGACGTGAGATTTGCAAAGATGAGGAGGTTGTTCCTAAGAACTCTGTAAAATCTCCAGAAAAAGAAATTCAGGATCAAGCCACAGGAAAGCATTATAGGGTGGCCAAAAGCACAGGCTCAGGTGATTCAAGGCAAGGAAAGAAATCCATTTCTAATGAAGTTGAAACTTCTCTGGAAGTCTTCAATCCATCTACAGGACCTCAGCGGGGAGTGGAAGATAAGGGCAGTCACACAGAAAAAGGGGAAGCACAGCCAGAAGATGCAGCGCTACAGAGAAAACATTCTATGAAAATGAAAGTGCCTACATCAGATGAAAAGAAAACTTCCAAAAATGAAAATAAGTCTCTCCAAAGAAGGACCTCAGGAGTAAGCCAGCCACTGAAGGCTGCCCATTCCCTGGCACCTGATGCAGTGCACACAACAAAAAGCCAGTCACTGAGCATGCCCAGTTTGCAGAGCTCCCTTACTAGTCCATCAGAGATAGAAAAGACTAAATCTCCACTGTCAAGATTTTCTCCTCAGCGTTTGAGCAAAAAGAAGATGGCCCTTGCAGCAGAGCAAGACTCAAAGGGCACTGTGGGTGACGAAAGAGAGACTTTATATCAGAGACCAAAAGACAAAGCCTACAGTCGGTATGAGTTTTTGCTTAGCAACGAAAATCTACGTCTGGATAAGTCAAAGAAGAAGGCAAATTCATATTCGTCAGACAAAGAGAGAATCTCTTCTTTGCAAAGGCGCGAGTCTGCCCGTTCAGTGAATCAGACACAGAGCAGCACTGATAACAAACTGGAGCGATTCATGCAGCGAGTTGGAAATCTAATAAACAAGAACAAGTAGCGAAGGCACAGAAGAAGGCCAACATGGTCAGAAATGAAGGCAAAGTTTAAGCATATTACATGTTTTGTTTATGCAGCTGTTTTCCATGCCTAGACAAACGGTTTCTTTACACCGCAGCAGTATGCTCCACATTTTTTTTTAAAATCGCCACTGATGCCAGTAACAAGGCTTGATAAATCGGTATTTGCAGTTAAAGTCTGAGATGGATCTTACTGGGGAGGAGGAGTTAAGGCAACCAGGGAGAATCTGACAGTAGCACTTCAGGACATTCAGCAATGTTTGATTCAGTAAGCTAAATTATAATGATACGGTATGTCTTATGCAAAATATGTTTATTCTTTTAGTTTACCTAAAGGATCAGACTGATGAGAGCATCTTTTATGCTATGACAACACCAACACCTCTGTTGTTGTTCAGTATTGTTGTGAAATATCTACGTTTAAAAAAACCCACACCAGTAAGGCCCACTGTTATAACCTGTACCTGAGGTTTTCTAAACAAACATACACTGGTTTACTCTAATACAGTAATGCATACATTCATCTGCCACTGAATATATTTCTTCTTGTTTCAGAAACAGTACTGAAACAAAGGGTGGATGTAGCTCAGGAGGCAGAGCAGGTCATCCACTAGCTGAAAGGGTCGTGGTTTGAGCCGTGTGTCAAAGTATCCTTAGGCAAAATACTCACCCCTAAGTTGCTCTACGATGGATTCACGGGAGGATGAATGTGTGTGAATTACAGTAGAAAAAAGTGCTTGTGTGAATGAGACGTGTTGTATAAAAGCACTTTGAGATCTTCAGTAGTGTAAAAAAGTGCTATATAAGAACCAGTTCATTCTCTGAAAATGTTCAGAGCTGCTGGAAATTACTGAAAAGTGTTCAATTAATAAACATATTTGGTTTTTTTGCTTCTTATATAGGCAGCACGGTGGTTAGCACTGTTGCAGCACAGCAAGAAGGTCCTGAGTTCAATTCCAACATCAGACCGGGGTCTTTCCGTGTGGAGTTTGCATGTTCTCCCCGTGTTTGCGTGGGTTCCCTCCGGGTACTCTAGTTTCCTCCCACCGTCTAAAGACATGCAACTTGTGGGGATAGGTTAACTGGATAATCCAAATTGCCACTAGGTGTGACTGTGAGTGCGAATGGTTGTCTGTCTCTGTGTGTTGGCCCTGCGACAGACTGGCGACCTGTCCAGGATGTACCCCGCCTCTCGCCCTATGACAGCTGGGATAGGCTCCAGCGCCCCCCGCGACCCTGAAAAAGGATAAGCGGAAGTGAATGGATGGATACTTCTTATATAGACAAAAGTCTTGAATCTATGTGTTTTCAGTCCCATTGTTACAGGTGTATAAAATCAAACACACTGTCATACAGTCTGCCTTCACAAACAACATGTCTGTGAACTGTATCCCCTCCTAGATATTCTGCGATGAACTGTAAGTGTTATTATGGCAAAGTGGAAGTCATTGTCAGCCATACCCACAGCGCTAATGTTCTGCTGACTCTCTACTCTACAGTTGATTAACATCAGTACTAAAACTGCATGCCAGGAGCTCTATGGTGTGGGTTTCTATTGATAACCAGCTCCTGTAGGTGTAATGTGTAGATAGCTCACTAGCTACTTTTGTCCATATGGTGTATGAAGACTGAAATTGTGGAGCAAAGCGTTGGTGGATTTGGTGGTTTTTTTGTGCAATGTGTCACAAAAAAACACCAAAAATATGTCATATGCCTTATCATTTAATGTATCATATAATGTATCATTCATGAAGCATATTGATATATAATTTTTTTTTAAATATGGACGATGCTGTACATTTTCTCAGTGTATTTTGATGAATTTAGCAACTATGTTCCAAATATGAAAGCATTCACACTGGACTTCTATCAGATATTTTATCATAAAGTGTCTGTGAACACTAAACTGCTTTCTAAGTCTCTGTGGAAGATATCTGCTGCATAGTCATCAGTGTTACTCTTCTTCACATCAGTTCTACAAAGCTTTTTAGGTTAAGCAGAGACACAGTTACATGCCTACTTTATAAGCTCCCTCTACAGATCACCATCTTGGTGTTGTTCTTTATAACGTGTTAGGTTTTTGCTTCCTGCTTTATTTTGTGAGCTGCTTGTTCCTTATGCTTTGCTTTTACTTTTGCTTCCTTGCCTCATCTTCTGCTGTCTCTGTGCGTCCTTTGTCAGTGTGCCTATTCGCTTCAACCCCAGTGATAGTAGCTCTAGTGTATTTGTTTAGGTTTCAGCAGTTTATAGTTTTCAGTGTTTCCCTTCTGGATTTATGATTTACCTTTTGTATTATTGCAAAAAACAATAAACAGTTCACTTCAAATTCACCGCTGTCTACCTGAGAGTCTACATTTTGGTCCTGTGCACAACATTCAGCCTGCATATCTTACATGCCATGAAATAAGACCATAACTGTAGCTATGGGTAGCTATGTTTGATGATAATGATGATGTCATAACTTTGCAAGACAATAATGAGTGGTGGCTTTTATTAAGTCAAAGATTTAGCTGAGCAGCTGATTCACACTGAGGCCACAGAAAAAATAAGAATATCAAATTGCAGCCAAGCTAGGGACCCCAAGACGGTAACATGCTTATTACACACCAGAAAACTAAATTGTTGCAATTTTCTCAACTGCTTGGGCTGCACTCCTAAATAATAGCTGAATTTGTCAAAATAATCTGAAATTCTTCATTACTTTTTGGTTCTTCTGCACAAAATAAAGCATTTCTAATTCTTGTTTTGCAAATGTTTTAGCACAGATGGGCAAAGGACTCTGCTTGCTGCACATGTCTTTGTCATTAAAACACATTATCAGTTAAATAGTTTAATTCTCTAAAATATACTTTAATTTCATGTGTAATATTTGTCACATGTCAAAGAAAATCTTTAGAAATTCAAAATCTCTCTAATCTTTCTATGCACAATAAACTTTGAATATGTATGTTGTAAAGCATATTTTTAAAGCCTGAGCACTGGTGGATCAAAAATAAATCTATAACACAACATTAACACGGAGGAACTGCTCATACAAACATTTTGTAGCCTGTGAAATATGCAGGGCAGAGAGGATGTGTGGCAGTAAATAAAGGGAAGACAACAGAATGCATGAAGGTGCATAAAAGTGCAAAGGATGGATGTAGCATGCACGGTAGCTTTTCTTATGTTACCTTGTAAGAGGACATCAGGTGGGAGGTCAGAGAAAATCTGTGACCAAATAGACAATGACTCAGCCCTTCTGTGCTATTGCTAGCACTGTAGCATTATATTGCAGATAATAGGACTGTTTTGGTTTGATACTTCGGGTATGGATAATGTGCATGCACATTGAAGTAATTTGTTAGTTTTCTGGTTACTGTGCTTGACTGTGTGACCACTGAAGGAAACGTGCATTTTTCCTTTCAATTCATGTAAATTAAATCCCACTTTTGCTTTACAGATTAGAATGTAAAACTTTCTGCCCTTGAAATCAGCATTTGATAATTAGTTACTTTCAGCAAAAATGTCTGACACAACTTCACCTACTTCCAAGGTGCATGGAGAGGATGATAGAATTCACAATGCAGGAACTCCAGCAACACTTAAGGGAAGATGAACAACTTTAATAATTGACCAACGCGCTTCGGCTTGTGGCCTTCATCAGGGTCATAGTAAAACATTGTAGAAAATTGCATAAATACAAGACAGGAAACAGAAAAAAAATTCAAATTAACCAATCACGCATGTGTTATTTTGAGACAGGTGGGGATTATGTCTCCTCCCCCCCATCCTCATCATTAATGATCTAGTCCAGTATTTACTTGGGCATGACTTAACCAATTAACCAATACCTACCTGTTATATGTCAGATGATCTATAATTAGTTACTTTGACAGACAGTAGTAGTCAGTTGTCTTCACCACCACTTCGCTGTCATTAAAGCATTTCTACACCTACTGTCAGCCAGACAAAATAGTTTGGTTTTACACAATGTTAAGACAACTTTTGACTTTGTTGACTTTCATTTACACAATGTTTCTGACACACACACTGGGGTGAGCAACCTTTGCATTTAACCGATGGTCTACTGCTACATGTATGAGCAGTTTAAAGAACTGCAACTTCAGTGCTAAGAGCTTCAAAAATAATGTGCCAAAGTAAGTGAGGCATAAATATAAATGGATGCACAATGGAGAGAACTTTAGCTTTCTACAGTGAACATGGCAATGTTTTGGCAATGACCCTATACTTGACCCTGTGTTCAAGATCAAATCCTTCTAACTAATATGCACTAAAAACAATTGACATTATTACTAAACCCTAAACCTATCCCTAGGTCTGGAGTTTAGGTTTGGAATGATTACCAAGGTTTAGTGCTACTATGCCATTATATTCACACCATTCAGAGTAAGAGCAGACTGCATTGTTCTTGGCATTAACAACCAGAACAGTGTTTTGCTGTGTGCATACAACAACAAAATAACTCAACAAAAAAATAGCACAATACTGCTGTTTATTTGGGGGGTTTAATGCCTTTATTTTGAAGTAATATCTTCTAAAATATCTAGAGTGTGTCTAATAATAATGTATAACATTGTATAAAATAAAATCGTGTATATTCAAGCAGCTGATTCACATGCTTTTAGTTGTTTGGCAGGAGGAGGTGTGTTTTGTATAAAGTAAATTCAGGGTTTCTATATGAAATACTCAAAGCACTTGTTCCTCTCATCATCCATTTCCTGGGTCTCAATCTCAAACTTCTTCATGGCAATGAAATACTGAATAAACGGCTCCCCAAGGGCACTGCGGATGACATGATCCTCCCCCAGCGCCTCCAGAGCTTCGTCAAGCTTTACTGGAATGGTGAACTCTTTCTGTTGGATAGGGGCTTTGTTAAGACTGCTTTCAACATTCAGGTTTCTTCTGATACCATCCAGTCCTGCAGCCACTGTAGCTGCAAGAACAATGTAAGGGTTGGCCATGGCTGAGCCCAGCTTGTTGTCAATGTGCGTCTCCCTCCCGCCGTGACACTTGATGTTGAAGGAGCTGCTGTTATCATTGCTGCCACAAGTGGCATACAGCAACCGCTTGGGGTCTTTGATGGTTTTGGCAATGTGACTTCTGCAACCCAGGCCAGGTGACATCAAACAGCTCAGGGCAGCAGAGTGGGTCAGGAGGCCTGCCAACCATTTTCTACCAATCTCAGACATCTCGCCTGCTTTCTCTCCACTGTGGAAAAGACTCCGTCGCCCATTAGCATCCCACAGGCTATGAGAGAGCACCCCAGCATTGTATAGACCATCGTCAGTAAAAAAGCTGGCAATGTAGCTGTGTTTGCGAGCCATTTCTTTGATGCCGGTGCGGAAGGTGAAGGCGCTATCAGCGGCAGCAATACCAAACTCTGGCCTCAGGTTGATCTCCATCTGCCCAGGGCCACTTGCAGAAGCAATGCTGTCTATGTCAGCCCCCATGCAGTACATGCTGTCCACTAGCTGCTGGAAGAAAGGCAGGTCATGGTTGCTGAGCAGGGTTGTGGCAGGAAACAGGAGTGTCTTTGGTCCAATCCGGTCCGGCGCTCCTAGTACACAACATTCATAGGTGAAGGATGAGTGCAGGGAGAAACCCAGGCTTTGGAGCTGACCGAGAAGCTGCTTGGCAATGAGGCGAGGCGAAGTGCGAAGGGGGCTTCCGGTCACGGTGCATGGGTCGCATATGACCCGTGCTGTTTGTTCAGCCCAGGGTAGGACCCTAAAAGTCGAAAGGTCAGGGATCAGAAGGACATCACTACTGAAATTGGCAGTGTTTGCATGGTCCACTTCATTGCTTTGTGGGCTCAGGGTTAGCTCCAAATAGCTTCTTGGCATTGGTACCCCATATACTGCTTTCTCCTGTGAGTGAAACATATGCATTAAAGCACTTCTCACCTTTCGTTAGAAGGGATAGATAGATA